AGTGCAATCTCTTTATAATTAAAGTGCAACTTACAAATGTAGGTTTTTTGGTTGCATAACTGCACTCAAAGTAAAACTTTAGCACTTTCAAGTCCTGTCAGTCCTACTTGCTGTTCAGCCAATTGCTAAGAGAAAAAAAGTGTGTTCACATTTACAGGAGATAATGCTGCCTGCTTCTTTTTTACAATGTCACCTGAAAGAAAAAACAGATGTTACATGGCACTTTTTTAGCTGGCGCTGCAGGATATGTAAGTGACAGATAAGCTAAACATTCGTATACCCTTTGTGCTTTGGCCTCCATCCCAGAGGACATGCTTTTATGTTGATGATGCTTGTTAAAAAAGTGTTAATTAAATTTGTGACTCAGCTCCCTGGGGGAAGAACTGTGTCTCCTACTCTGCATTTTACCCACATTCTGTCATGTACTGGGTCATCATCCAAGACTGCTACCACGTTACATGTTCTTTTTGAGAACACTTTCACAAAACTAAAAAAGGTACCAATGTGAGATTTCTAAGAATAGCTACAGCACTCAATCCAAGATTTAAGAATTAAGAATCTGAAGAGCCTTGCAAAATCTAAAGAGCAAGGTGCAGAGCATGCTGTCATAAAAAAGCAACACAAGAATGTAGAAACTACAGCACCTGAACTACCAAAAAAGGAAATAAATCTTCTGTGGATTGCATCTGACTCAGAAGATGAAAATGAATATGTTTGGATCTGCACTGCTGTGGATCATTATGAAGTAGAATCCATCATCAGCATGGACATGTATCCTCTGGAATGGTGGTTGTAGCATGAAGGAACATATGAATATTTAGTGCATCTTGCACATGAGTATCTTATAAAATTAACTACAACAGCGCTATGCGAATGCCTACCCTCACTTCCAGGTGACACCAAAAACAAGAAGTGGGCAGCAAGATCTCCTGTAAACACGAACAAATGAGTTTGTATGAGCAACTGGCTGAGCAATGAGAACCAAGTGTACTGGCAGACTAAAACTTCACACTTTTTTTTTCCTTGAGTGGTTATTTTTGTACATAATTCTACATTTGTAAGTTCAACTTTCATTATAAAGGGACTGAATTAAGCACTTGTATTAAGTGAACTGAAATATTTTATTTTGCAGTGCAAATTTTTATAATAAAAATATAAAATGAGCACTGTAAATGAAATCAATATATTTGAAAATGTGAAAAACATCCAAAAATATTCATACAAATGGTATTCTATTACTGTGAATAATCTTTTTAATGTCTTGAAAGCCCTAGTACTTATAACAGAACATTTCGATCTAAATCATGGAGGAAAAAAAAAATCTTGCCTATGTAGAATGGAGATGTTAAATATCAGTTAATTGAATAGTCAAGTCACCGCATGAATTCTTATCAGTTAGTGGACTATTATATAGTCCCTGGGGTGGGGTGGGGCGGGAGGGGAGTGGGGCTGGTAGCCAGTGTGCTCCAGCCCCACTCCCTAGAAGCCCCCTGCCACTTGGAGCTGCTGCCTCAGTATCAGACACATCAGCATGGGGTGCCAGGCGGGAGTTGGTCCATGAGAGGAACCAGTTTAAAAAAATAGCCCCCCCCTCACAGACCGGCTGCCTGTCACTCTGTGCTGCTGCATCTGATGCAGAGGTGGGAGCTGCCCTCTCTTGGGGGGACCTGGGGTGGAGGGGAGGGATGCACCCCTCGGTGCTGCGGGACCAACCCGGCAGCACCCCAGATGCTCTGCCCCAGACTTCCCCAAGTCAGCCACTGCTGAAACTAACCAGCAGCTGACTCCGGGAAGCCCAGGGCCGAGCACCCTAGCTGCTCTGCCCCGCGGGTTCCGTGCCGCGCGGCTTCCTATTTCGAGCTACCGTTACTCCTCGTCCCTGATTCAGCCTCTTCTGGTCAGTTTCAGCAGCAGCTGAATTGGGGATGCCTGCAATAGAGCAGCTGGGGTGCTGCTGGGTTGGTCCTGCAGCACCGAGGGGCGGCGCTAGGGGACCAACCTGGCAGCACCCCAGCAGCTCTGCCCCTGGCAGAGCAGCTCCAATTGTCCGGCTGCCCGGACCATCAGGAGTGCCGGACCACTGTAATTTTACTGTATAAACATTTCAGCTAATGCCATTTAAATTGAGAAGGCAACTCAGAGCCAAGTAACTGAAAATGCTTAACAATTCTTTTTTTTTTAAATTGACTCGATTTCCAGATATTATCATTTACACACGTGAAGCTGAAGAAATTTGTATTATTTGAGAAATAGCATGTGATAACTTAAGTCTACTGTAAAATACTTAGTGCACCAAATTTAAGACTGACTATGCAATATTAATTTAGCGTTTCCTGTTTTTTTGAAGGCAAAAACCTTTATCTTGTAAAGACTGCACCTCCTTAACCCAGGACAGTCTTGTGTGGTGCTGAACCACAGATATTCCTGAACGAGAGAGCCCCAGGGCAAAAAGACCAGCAGCTGAGAGCCCTGCACACAGTGAGGCTAGTGGTAGTGGAGCTAAGGCCTCAGCAGCCTAGCAGTGGTAGTGGAGCCATGGCAGTGTAGTTGGGGCAGCCCAGCAACCCAGCTGGAGCCAGGGCACG